TTCCTGCTGGGTGTGGCCAACTTGGAAGCCAGCCGGAACTCCGTCCCTGTGCGTTCCTGCCCAAAAATAGCCCTGGCCACAGCCGTTCTCCGCCTCTGTTTGTAAGAAAGAGCCAGTGTGTGTTCAGTTCACAAATGAAACCAAGAACCAGTACCTTGATCAAAGTGGTGTTTGAATCATGCGTAGAGCTCTACATGTGTTGAACATAACACGAGCCATACTCAACACATGCATAAAGAAAAAATCAAGTGTACACTGTTCAAGGGTTGTCCGTTTGTTCACTGTAACTTGTGTTGAGGGGGGACATTAACAAATAGCCTGCACTGATGAGAAAAGAGTCCTGTGGCACTTCAGCAACCAGGTTTTTGTGGCATGGAGCCCGCTTTACCACATTTATGGTTCGGTCCCGTACAAAAAGTATCCTTTCGGTCTCCGAGTAGGAACGTGCGGGGCCATCCACGAAGTGTTTTGGCTGGTCCCAGGGCTTTTTTTGTAGAAAAACTCCAGCAGGAACTCATTAGCATAATAGGCCACATCCAGCAGCAGAAACTCATTAGCATATTAAGCCACACCCCTGATTGCACCACTCATTAGCACATTAGGCCGCATTCCCATGTTACCAGAAGTGTGGTCATCCAGCCACACCCACCTTTTTCTTCTTATTCTGTTTACCTTGTTTGTTGTCAAAACCCAGGGCTTTTTTTGTTGCAGGGACTCCTTTGCATGTTAGTCCACACACCCCTAATGTAGCCAATCCTAATGAGTTTCTACTGCCGGGTGTGGCCTGTTATGCTAATGAGTTCCTGCTGGGCGTGGCCAGCTCGGGAGCCAGCCAGAACTCCATTCCTGTGCGTTCCTGCCCCAAAATAGCCCTGGCTGGTCCCATCAAAGCTGTTGCGTCTTTCCCTCAGAATTTTTTTTTTAAGTTCCTCCCACGCCAGGAGGTCTTTCCCTGTATCATCAAGCTGCGTTTGCCATGTCACGTTTGCTTGCAGTGTAACAAAATGCACTGCATAGCTAGCGGCAGACTTTCTCTCTGACTTTGTGGTTTTGAGATTAAGAATGGACAAATAAACCCCAGTATTCCGGGGTGGGGCACAGTCACCGTCTCCCCCAAAGCAACTGCCCTTGGCTCCTGTGGAAGAGCCGATAGGCCGCATCGCTGCATCTGAGTAATCCACGTTTTCCTTTTCTTTTGCTGTATCTCAGCAGGACAGCCCAGTAGTCTCTTTCCAGAAGACAGCTTTATAGACACCGGAGAAATCGATGTCGGCAGGAGAGCCGCTCAGAAAATCCCTCCCGGTATGTTCTGGCGATCTCAGGTGTTCATCGATCACCCGGTTCATCTGAAGTTCAACGTTTCGTTAGGGAAGTCTGCGTTGGTCGGGATCTATGGCAGGAAAGGCCTTCCACCTTCACACACCCAGGTAAGGAGAATGGTTGTCTTATGGAACCTAGGTATCATCTGGTACCCACGTAGCGTCAGATAGGTGAGAAGAAGAAGAAGAGATTATACCCCGCCCTTTGCTCAGAGTCTCAGTGCAGCTTACAGTTTCCTTTCCCTTCCCCTCCCCACAACAGATGCCCTGGGAAGTAGGTGGGGCTGAGGGAGCCCTTTCGAGAACTGCCCTTGAGAGGACAGCTCTGAGAGAACCTGTGACTGACCCAAGGTCACGCCAGCAGCCACATGTGGAGGAATGGGAAATCAAACCTGGTTCTCCCAGATTAGAGTCCACACCCCTAACCACTACACCAAACTGGGTATTGCTGGTTTCCCTTACGGTTCTAGTGTAATCTCTTTACAACCAGACCCATTACCCACTACTGTTTCTCAGTAATTTCTTCTAAGGAATAGGAGGAAGAAATTAACAGTTCTCAAAGAGCATCGTGCATTTCTAGCTCTCGAGCTAGCCTGGGCATGCAAGCTGGGAGTCTCTATAAGTTATTCAGGGGAGAAAGGGCAATGTACAAGTGTAAGAATTAGAGATAATAAACTAAATAAACTTGTCAAAATTCAGTATGTTAAGTGCGTGTAAATGTGAATGTACGCCAGGGGTCCCCAACGTGGTGACCGCGGGCACCATGGCACCTGCCAACACTTATCCCGGTGCCCACCAAGTGTTATTAGAAGGTCGGTGGGGCCAGGTGGTGCTTTTGTTAGCAAGGCCATCCATCGTGTCCCACTACAAATGGAGGAGTCTCCTCGAGGTCTCAGGCCCAACGGAGTCTTCCCCTTAACCTGCCGCTTTTTTGCTGGAGATGCCAAGGATCAAATCTGAAGTCTTATTTAGTTATTTATTTCTAATTATAAAGCTGGATTTATTAGGCCTTCCTTCCCTGCAAGCAGGGCTCCTCAGGTGGGCTTACAGCAAGAATAGATAACAATAAATCATCAATTTAAAACCCAACATTAAAATACCTAAAACATATCAACAGATAAAACAGTACCCATTCCAAGATGACGGGGGAATTTCAGCTTCTACGGGCCTCCGGGAGGGGAGGGGTTACAGAGGCTAGGGCGTGAGAGTGCCAGATTTCATACCGTCCCGTTGCTGTCGTCAACCGAATACCTGCTGGAACATCTCTGCCTTCCACGCCCTGCAGGGCACAGATGTTCTCCAGCAGCAATTTCCACCAGGCGGGAAGAGGAGATGTTCTGTCTTTTTTGTTTTTGTTTATATATATACTGTGTTTCCCCGAAAATAAGACACTGTCTTATATTTATTTTTTCTCAAGAAGACACACTAGGGCTTATACCACAAATGCATAGAAATCCTGCTAGGGCTTATTTTTGGGGTAGGTCTTATTTTTGGGGAAACAGGGTAG